CTGAAACCCCGGGAAGCGCAGTGAGAGGACCATGGTGGCTTTTCACAGCCCAGGACCGGACCAGAGGTGTCTCTGCCTGCCATGGGGACGGTGCTACCATAAATGTGGCTGAGCTGGTTCGGCTTAGCCGCATGGCAGAAGATCTCACCTCTCACCAAGTGGACCCCAAAGGCCACAGGATGGCCACCATGTGCACGGAGGTGGCATGGGATGCTCAGAAGCTGCACCCTCACCCCTGGCTGCTCCTGCCATTGCTCCATCACCATCTCTTCTGTCTCCCCTTGCCCTTTGCAGGCAGCAAGCGGGTGCCGACCCTCTTACCTGTTTTGTAGTAGCCAGGCAGGACGAGGCTGACTTTGACGCCCCAGGGCTGGAGCTCGCTGCGGAAGGTGTCCATGAGCAGGCTGAGGGCTGCCTTGGAGGTCCCGTAGGCTGCCAGGCAGGGGAAGGGCAGGTCACCTTGCAAGAGAGAAAGGATGAGCAAGCGGGCTCTCAGGCAGCTGCCCACATGGCCGGGGGCAGGCAGGGATCGGGAGGGCTTGCACAGGGCTGCGCTCCCGGCCACTGCATGAGGAAAGGGCTTAAGGTGCCATGCTGATGGGGCTGGCTGGGGAAGTGGAGGTGCCTGGCGGGGTGGGAGCCGTGCCCACACTGTGGGGATGCTCGACCCGCAGCCAGGCTAGGGGTGCCAGGGGTCTGGTGAGCCATGCTGAAGGCTGGCTGCTCACCCGCGGGACTGCTCACGGTGACGATGCGACCGCCGGCGGAGCGGAGCAGGGGCAGCAGCCCCTTGGTGAGCTCCAGTGAACCAAAGAAGTTCACCTCCATGCAGGTCCGAAACTTGCCAAGTGGTGAGAGCTCGGCGTCGGCGATGGTGTCGTTGAAGCCAGCGTTGTTCACCAGGCCCCAGAGCCCTGCGGGGATGGGGTGCTTGAAGAGGTGACCCGAATGGGGGACCCCCCCAGCCTGGGGATCCCAGCTGCTCCCCGTCTCATGGGGATCCTGCAGGGGAATTGGGCGTGCCCCAGGACCAGCCCCACTAGCAGAGACTGTCAGCATGGGTGCCCATAGGGATGCAGCTTGCGGTGGGGGTCTTGGCTGCAAGCTGCGGCCCTGGGGAGCTGCGTGGGGTCCCAGGGGGTACCTGTGCTGTTGGTGTGGGCCTGGATGTGCTGCAGGACGCACTGGATGTCCTCTGGCTTGGTCAGGTCCATCTGCAGCAGCGTCAGCCTCGGCGAGCAGCTCCTGCGCAGCTCCTGGGCACCGGGACCCTGCAGGTCCAGTACACTGGCAAACACCCGAAAGCCCATGGTGTCCAAGTGCCGCGCCGTCGCCTGCCCAAAGCCCGAGTCACAGCCTGCAAAAGCCAATAGCAGCCCTGCAGTGGCCAGTGCCAGCCACCGGCCAGCTGTCCCCATCCCCCAGGGCCGCCCCAGCTCTGCCTCTCCATCCCCAGGGACTGGTCCCCTGCTTGGGGCTTGTCGCCCCACTATGGCTCCGGACCTGTCAGGGACGTGACCTTGTCCTGGGGCATTCGCAGGTCACAGCACTGCTGTTTTCTCTCCATGTTGCACAGGAGGAAGAAAACACTTCCTTATCTGCAGCCCCATCGCCCCAAGCGCCTCTCTGATGCAAAGTGCAGGTAAAAGCACAGGCATGGCCTAGTGAGGCACCAGGACAGCTCAGAGCCCAGCAGTGATGCAGGGCAGGAGCTATCACCCCTGGAACATCCTCCAAAAGCTCCCTCAGGCACCACCGGCAGCTGGCACAAAGCTCCATGAGCGACGCTGCCTTTCCCCAAATGCTTTCTGCCTCCCAGAAATGATGGCTGAGAGGCACAGTACCCCCTCGCCTGGCTGGGGTACTGAAAGGATTAAAAAGGGCAGGGGGAGGAAAAGAAGAGGGATCCCGGTCTGCTGCTGCCACCTCACATCCTTCAAGGACCATCCCATGGGGATGTCCCACGTCAGGGAGCACTGGGTGCTGCCCTGCCCAGTCCCAGCCTCATCTGCTCCATCTCAGCTCAAGCAAGGGCACTGCAGTGACTGTCACCCACAAAGCCACTGGTGGGGTGGCTGGGGGACAGCCTGGGTGGGAGCCG